CCAGCCCCCCAACCCCATATTCTTAAGGTGATTTTTCTTCAGCATCCAAGAGTATTTCCTATTTGGCGAAGGGGCTTTGGTTTCTCTTTCCTTTGCAGACGCTAATTGCTAGAACATGAGAAAGTTGTCTTTTTAAAGGTTAATCTTGCCACAATCTTTAATTAGTCCAGAGGTTAAATCCTTAGCAATTTCTAGATAAATGATCCCAGCTTTGACGGACTGTCAACTTTCCTTTTTGCTTTCCAATATTTATTTTCTTATTGCATTGGCAGAAAGCAAGAGAAGCATCTTTATTTTGTTCTTGATTTTACCAAAATATGTTTCTCATATTTAAAGTCATGCAGTACATTGGGCGAAAAGCATTGTTAGGCTCTTTTGCCCGTGTGCAGATATCATAGAGGATGCTCCTACAAACTGAGACGGCTGTGATGTCATGGGTGGTACCGTCTTCTGCAATCTGAATATGGCTCGTCACCGATGGAAACATGGTTACCTGGCGTGTGACCTTGTGGAGATGTTCGGTAGGTGCCAATCGCCCTATCAAAGCACTGCATACTGTGTGGTTTAACGCCACAGAAGTGTGCTGTCTCACAGTTCTGGAGGTCACGTCTGAAACAAGACAGAGTTCCCACAAGACAGAGTCCCTCTGAGTCATGGAGGGGACCCCTCTTGCCTGTTGCCAGGTTCTGGAGGCGGACGGTGAGCCCTGGCTTCTCCCCTCCTGTCCCAGCACAACACCTTATCTGTGTCTCTTCTCTTGGTTGAAGGACAGGGGCTTATGGGATTCGAGCTTGTCCTAACCGCACCAGAACTTGATTACATCTGTGAAGACCCATTTCCAAATAAGGTCCCATTTGCAGGTACCCTGGATTAGGACTTTAACTTATCTTTTGTGGGGGACACAAACCAACCCCCCCCGACTCAGTGGGCATGTATTTTTTTTCATTCATTTGTTTGTTCTTGATTTTTACCGAAGATGGTTCTCATGTTATCATTAAGTAAAACCATTTCTGTGGATCCCTGGAAATTGCCTTTAAGGAAATCGCCTCCTGTGTTTGCTCAGCATTCGTTTTCTTGTGTTTATCTTCTTTTTAATGAAAAATGAGCATTGAATCGATCTATCTCAAAATGTGGAAGAGACAAAAACAAGAGCCGGAAGGATACAGACCACGTGGGAACGTGTTTACTTAGCTTCCAAATGGGCAAAACAATCCGAAATATCATCCAAGGGTGCATGCACAGTTAAAGTGTTCTTTAATGTGATAAACACTGAGCTTTGGGGGGGAAGTAGCCTTGGGGAAGGAAATGGGAATGAGACCAGAGACGGACTGGAAGTCCTAGAAGAAGACTCACACTATATTTGTCATATTTACTTTTAAAAGGATCTGAAACATGCAATGGTGTCAAAACAGGAATACAGTGGAGTGGAAGGCAGGCGCATTGTATTCTGCAGACCTCTTGACACACTCATTTTTTCATCATAATAATCAAAGTCGATATTAAGAGCAATAAGTGGGGCTGAGTTGTGGCTCAGTGGTTGAGCATTTGCCTAGTACACGTGAGGCACTGGGTTGGATTCTAAGCACCACGTGAAAAAATAAACAATTTTTTTTTTCTAAAAAAGCCACCACCAAGCCGGGCGCCGTGGTGCAAGCCTGTAATCCCAGCGGCTTGGAAGGCTGAGGCAGGAGGATCGTAAGTTCAAAGCCAGCCTCAGCAAAGGTGAGGCACTAAGCAACTCAGTGAGACCCTGTCTCTAAATAAAATACAGAATAGGGCTGGGGGTGGGGCTCAGTGGTGGAGCGCCCCTGAGTTCAATCCCCAGTACTACCCCCCATCCCCGCAAAAAGAGCCATAACCAAAGCATAATGCGTCCTTTGCACTGAAATGGGTTCCTGGGTCATAGGAGCCTCCTCTCTCTAAAAAGAATGGACACCCTAGAGTGGCCCTGGCTTGAGGCTCAATCAGGTGGCCTTTACCTTCTTTCTCCTCTACTCCAAACCTTTGTCCTTGCCACTAGCACCAGCTGCTCCCCAAACTCAAAATCCTACCCCTGGACTATCTCGCTTCTTCCCGAGTCCTGTTCCTTCACTCTTCCAATCTGTGCACGTGCTGATGTCATCCTGGGAATCTCCCCTCCCCACCTTTTCCAGAATGGCCAACTGCTCCGGGCATCCCCTCCTCCCAGAAGCCCTCTGGGATCCTTCAGGTACGTTCAGGAGTGGCTGCCAGTCCTCGTGATTCCCTGTGCTCCCTATGTGAGCTCCACTGTCTTAAAATTCCCTGGTCACGTGTTTCCCACCCACCATGACACCCAGAAAAGGGTTTCCCTTCCCTGTCTTGGGGCAGAAGTAAAGGTGAGGGGTCTGTGGCCAGCCTCGTACCTGGGACCTCCCTTCCCCTGCAGCAAATCCTGGGCATGGGGCCGGGGATGGGCAGCTTTGGGTTTTGTGGAGAAGTAGGAAAGCTCCACCGAGCTCCTCAAGGCTACATCGGCTCTAGGCATAAATCAGAGACCCACCTTCCTGCCCTGCTCCCTTCTCCCCTCGACCATGTACCTGTCCTTGAAGGCACCATTCCAATGGGATCCCTTTCAGGAAACATCTGCTGACCCCCCACACGAATGAATTGGTTCTCCTCCAAAATAACTAATGAAACAATCCCATCCGGATCCTTTCCTAAGAACACATTTTGATGGTTGCCTTGGACAGAAATTTTGCAATCTTTTTTTTTTTAATTTCCTCTAACTAAGCGCCACTTGGGGTGTGCCTTTCCAGAAAGTTCTGCCACATAGTCATGTCTTGCTGGTAAGTCAGCTGTCGGCACCTGTTGACACGGTTCCTTTTTCTGATGATGGAGGCAAAAGGAGTCTTACATCTCAGAAGGAGAAGACTTCTAGGAAGAGGAGCAATGTCCTCTCGTGTTCCAACTTACACATACTTGGTTCATACATACATACCATGTACCCTCAGCCCAGTGGTAGAAAATCTGATACTGTGTTTCTGGAACATTCTATGTGAACTTGGTTCCACATGTCCTTCCCCAGATTCTGTTGAACAGTTCCTTGTCCATCTCCAGGTGTCTGACCCTCTTCCCTGCAGTAACAAAACGAGGACCTGTGTGTATCAAGTCTGGACCCCGGTCTGAATGTTGTGCCTAAGCCTATATATTAGAATCATGCTCCCTTCCCCACCCTCCTGTGTCCTTTGTCATCTGCTTTAAAAAAAGAATCTGGGCTGGGATTGTGGCTCAGCGGTACAGCGCTCGCCTAGCACGGGCGGGAATCGGGGTCGATCCTCAGCACCACATAGAAATAAAGGCATTGTGTTGTGTCCATCTACACCTAAAAAATAAATATTTAAAAAGAAAGAAAGAAAGAATCCTCCTATCTCTTCATTTTATGTGACCATGAATGCTTCTCTCATTCCTTTCTGGAAAGAAGTAAGAAAACTATCAAATTTTTTTTAAAAATTGGCGGGGGGTGGGTGCTGGGGATGGAACCCAGGGTTTCATGTGTGCTAGGCAAGCACTCCACCACTGAGCCACACCTCAACCCTTGAGTTAACTTTTTAAATGAAGTGTGAATAATGTCAATTATTTCTAAAGCCTGTTAAGAAGTGAGGGTGCATACACATATCCCCAAGAGGGCTGGAATCTAGTAAATGCAATGGTATCAAGTAAACTTAGCTTCCCAGCCAGGTCTCCTGGTCACCTCCCCACTGCCCAATCCTCCAAGCCCTTAATTCTGTTTGAGGTTTGGTTCTTTTATAACACTTGTGATTTTTTAAAATATATGTTTTTAGGGTTCTCACTCTGGGCATGACGGACAGTTGGAGCAGGATCACTCTTTGCCACGGGACAGAGGTGGTCCTGTGCATTGTAGGGTTTTGAGCAGCATCTCTGTCCTCTACCCACGAATGTCAATCACACACACACACACACACACACACCAAATTCTAACAACCAGAAATGTCTCCAGACATTGCCAAATATCCACTGAGAGGCCCACTTACCCTTCGGTAAGCACACTCCTCTATAAAATGTGCTTTTAAACTGCTGTCTATTTAGTATAGGGTCTATCCCCTGACCACCCCAGTGAATTTGAGTTCCAAGGACAAAGAAATCTGCTCCTGGATGTACCCAATACTCAGAGTATGCTTCACAGTAAGGGTTCAATATTTGTTGGAAAAATGCATAATAATTAGTGGGATTTGTTTTTAGGAGTTGGGGGCAGAGTCTTGCTAGGTTGCCCGGGCTGGCCCCAAGCTCCTGGGCTCTGGTGATGCTCCTGCCTCAGCCTCCCTGGTTGCCGGGTCTGTCGGTGTGCACCACCACACCTGGCTCACTTAGTGGTTTTCTCGCACCTGAGATGGCGCTGGGTCTGTCATGCATGACCTCACTTCTTTATCCTTCTTTGAGGGAGGCCCTGTTATTGTCCCTCCTATTCACAGAGGGAAAACTGAGGCTTCTAGAAGCTACATCTGCATACAACCCCATCCATCCCGCCCCCACCCAGCAGTAGAATCCAGGAGCTTAACGGGCCACCCCGAAACTTTTCAATTTGTTCCCTTCTGGCCAAGAGAGACTGAATTCAGGTCAGGGTCAGGCCCAACCTCTGAGAAGCACCTGTGGGGAAGTGGAGGGGGGGTGCGGATCTGGCACTGGCTGGGGAGGTCCCATGGAGGGGCTTTCTCAGGATCTAGCAGGGGTATGAATTTGGTTGGGATCAGCAGGTCCAACTCAGGAGGAAACTCAGCCCCCAAAGAGTTAGGGACCAAGCTCTGAAGAGAAGCCACAGCACCAGCCTGGGGGCGTGCTGCAGAGACCAGGCCCGGAGGCTGGAACTGCCCCCCACCATGTCCCAGCCCAGCAAGGAGCCGGCCCTGCGATTGGTCGGCGAATGTTTCCCTGTTACCAGGAATGGAGGCCAAGGAAATGGGAAGGAGGAAGGCAGGAAGAGAGAGTGGGTGTGGCCAGGGTGGGGCTGGGGGCTAAATTTATATCTCTGCCCGCTTCACAGGACTCCTGCTTCACCATGGACAATGCTGGATACAGCAAGTGGGGCGGCGGGTCCCAGGACCTCCCTGGAGGTATGAGTAATGGATTGCCTAGCTGGTCTCCTGGGGTTCCTAGTGTGTGTTTGGGGTGTGATGGGGAATGGAGGAGAGGAGGCAAGAAGACCCAGGCAATGGGTTCAGGAAAAAACCCCACAGCCATAGACCCGGTTAGACCTGGATCCAAATCCTAACTCTGCTGCTCAGGGGCTGTGCCATGGTGGGCAAGTTATTTAACCTCTCTGTGCCACAGCCTAGGGTTTAGTGCTTGGGCCCTAGGAGTCCATCTGTGTTCTCCTAGGGCACTGGGGATGCTGGGAGCACTGCAAGCAACGATTTTTCTTCCTGGCCCTGGTTCTCCTGGTGGCCACAATCCTATGGGCTTTCATTCTGAGCATTCTGTTGTCCAAGGGTGAGTGACCCCTTCTTGAGGACCTAAGTCTGCCCTTTCCATTGCTCCAACCCCCCCATGATCCCAGCCCCCTGCCTGGATCTGAATGTGCCACCCCTGCATAGACTGGCTGTCCCTCTTTGGGCTGGGCGCACCCACCCGTGCGTTTGTCTCCCTTCCACACATGTGATCATCATGTGTGTCGTACGCCGGCCTGCTTCCCCTGTGGGTCCCAAGACGGGGTCCTTGCACCCCTGGGGTGAGGGGATGTTCCCGGGTCACCCCGCTGGGCCTGCAGGAGCTTCTCTCTGCAGCCTCTGTGGAGCGCCGGGCGCTGGTGGGCCAACAGGACCTGCTGGAGACGAACGGTGTGTGCAGAGCGGTGGGCCCTGGGGGCTGGGGGTGGGAATGTCCAGGGTCCTGAGCCCGGGGAGTAGCTGGGTGAGGACACAGGGGACCCAGAGGCTGCTCTCATAGTGGGGGAAGGGTGTCCCCTGAGTCCCTTCAGGTGACGAAGTACACATGCGCGTGGGGACATCATTCCAGCCTCGGAACAGACAGTGGTGCTGGGTGCCTTGAAGGAGGAGGTCGGAGCCTGCAACAGCTGCTGTAAGAAGGGGGCCTGGCAGTCGCTTGTGGGCTTAGGGCAGGTGGATCAGGGCAGGCTGGTGGGGGCAGGCAGGCTGGCCTCAGAAGTCCCACCCACCCGTATCATGTCCTTCCTAGGCTTGGGGACCAAGGCGAAACTGCAGACCACTCTCACTGAGCTTGGGGAGACACAGGCAAAAGTGCTACAGCAGGAGAGCGCCCTGAAAGAACTGCAGGAGCGCGGTGAGGGGCGTGACCCTCAGCCCTGGCCCCAGTGACCTTGACCCCTGACCCTGATCGTGCCCACCTCCATGGCTGGACCAGATCCTAATGGCTGGACTCTGACCTTGAGTACAACTCCTCACCCCAGCCACGCCGGACCCTACCCTCTTATGACAGTCGTTGTCAAGGTCGACATCCACCGGGACCTGACCTTTACCTGGCCATGACACGGCTGATTCTAACCTCCACTGTAATCTCAACTCCCTTGACCCTGCAGTGACCCAGGGCTTGGCTGAAGCCGGCAGGGACCGAGAGAACGTCCGCACTGAACTGTTCCGGGTGCTGGAGGGCATCAAGTTCCAGAACGGTGAGCAACGCAGGGGACGGAAAGCAAGCAGAACCTGCCGGGGCCTCGGAGTGCCACTCTCCACCAGGCCCTGCCCTTGTACTTGGCTTCGGTGGTTCTGCCCGTGGGGGATACCCACCCACCCGGTGCTCAGTGAGCTCCACCTGGGAACAGCCCACCTCTCTGACCCTCCACCCTGCAGGTTCCTGTGAGCCGTGCCCCAAGTCCTGGCTGACCTTCCAGGGCTCTTGTTACTTCTTCTCCGAGCCACCCAGCTCGTGGGAGGCGTCGCTGCGCCTCTGTGCAAACCTAAGCGCTCACCTGGTGATCATCGGGGGCCTGGAGGAGCAGGTAGCGAGAGGGAGGGGCTCAGCGGGAGGACCTGGCGTGTGCCGTGTGGCTCGGGTCCTGGGGCGGTTGGTGGACTCCTGGGTTCAGGTCCCCGCTCCTTCCCAGGGCTTCCTGAGTCTGCACACTCGCGGCCTGGGCTACTGGCTGGGCCTGAGGGCTGTGCGTCACTCTGGCAAGGTTCAGAGCTACAAGTGGATCGATGGAGTCCCGCTCAGCTTCAGGTGAGGGACGGACTCCTGGTGAGAATCGGGGAGAGGGACAAATCAGACCCGAGGGGAGGTGCTTTGGACCACCTCTCGGGGACTCCTTGGCTTGGGCTAAATTCTTAGGGATGGGAACATCAGATCGTAGGAACTGGCTGAGGAGGGTTAAACTCTGGGCTCCCAAAGTAATAACCCCAGGTGCATGCTCAAGTTAGACACGCAGGGTGAACAGGTTAGCCCCAAGCCATAAACAGGCTAGACGCTGGGAAGGAGGCCTGGACCCCAGGTCCGTCCTCAGCCTGGCCTTGCAGCAGTGCCCTACTTCACCTTGGCAGCCACTGGAACACGGGAGAGCCCAATGACTCGAGGAGGCAAGAAGACTGTGTCATGATGCTGCACTCGGGGCTGTGGAACGACGCACAATGCAGCAGTAAAATGGACGGCTGCATCTGTGAGAAGAGGCGCAGCTGCTGACCAGAGCCACGCCCACCGGCGCAGTTGGCTCCCAGGTGCTCAGAGGCCTCTGCTCCAACCTCACAGGACCCTGCACTCCCACCCCTCCGCCAGCTTCAAAACTCCCTTCTCCTAATCCCGGGTCACCTGAGCCCACCTCTCTTCCTAGTCGAGAAAGAGAAGGATAGACTGGCACCCTGTCATCCATCCCAGACTTCACAGCAGGACACAAGGCCCTGAGGCAGGGGGAGGAAGGAGGAACTCCCCTGATGAGATTATCTGGTCCCTTTTGCTCAAAGCACCTAGCTCCCGGGACTGTCAGGAAACATCCCAGAGAAACTGGGTTTTTGAGAAGTGATGGGATTTCTGCAGGTGGAGCTAGGAAGGTGGCGGGCAGGTAGGGAGCCGGGAGTAGGAAGCAGAACCCAGCAGGAGGGAGGCTGTCAGTTGGGCAGAAGGAGTGTGGAGGTGTGGGCTGCAAAGAGCCTGGCTGGAACAAGTGGGGACTTCTGATCTGAATTCACCCTGCACTCCCAGAGTTTCCTGCTTTCATCCTGAGGACTTGGGGGCTCTCTGAGAATTTCCAAAAAAGCAGATGGATGCAACAGAGGACAGTAACAGGCCAGCTGCTCCCAGTTCCCTGCAGAACTGAGTCCATAACTGAAGGCTGCTTTAGTTCCCAGAATGCCTGGCGGTGGCAGCCTGAGGCAGCAGGAGAGGAACACCATTCCAGATACAGCCTCTACCCACTGTGCCTTAAATCCCCTCCTCTCCCCTCCTATTCAGTCCCAACCCCCAGCCCTGCTCCAGGCCACCACGGACCTGTTGTCTATCGCCATCAATGTGACTCGTCTTTTGTAAAACTCCATATACATTGAATTACATACGACACATAGCCCTTTGTTTCTGGATACTTTCTGTCCACCGAGTACTTTTGAGATTCAGCCATGCTATTATGCGAATCGATAATATTCTCTTTTTTTATTGCGGAGTCATATTCTGTTGTGTGGCTGGACCACAGTTCACTTTCTGTTTACCCGTTGATGGATGTTTGGGTTGCTTCCAATGTAAGTTACTATGATTCGGCTTCGGTGAATATTCTTATACAAATTTTTGTATGGCAGGTCAGCGTGTTTACTGTTGCTATAAAAAAAAACACACCCAAGACTGGGTAATTTACAAAGAATCGAAGTTTTTTTGACTCATGGTTCTGGAGGCTGGAAAGTCTGAGAGCATGGTGACAGCATTTAGTGAAGGCCTTCTTGCTGAGGTATTCATCTCTTTCATTGCTGAAACAAAATACCTGAGGCTTGGTATTTTATAAAGAAAGGAGATTTGTTTAGCTCACAGTTTGGAGGCTAAAGTCCAAACAGCCGTGTATCTGCTCTGGTTAGGGCCCTGTGGCTGCATTACATCATGAGGCTAGCAAGGAGAAATCTCATGGCATGACAGAAAGCCAGAGAGAGGAGAGGGGCTAGTTTTGTTCTTTTGTGACAAGTCTCTCCCGAGAACCAGGATCTCACCAGGATCTCAGCAGAATTAACTTAATCCCTTCCAAGGAAATGCCCCCAAACACCTAATGACTTCCCACTAGGCCCCACCTCCTACAAGTTCCACTATTTCTTAGGGTCACCTCACTAGGGACCAAGCTTCCAACAGATGAGCCCCTGGGAACATCGTCCAACCCATGGTCTATAGTATAACATGGCGAGACAGAGCTAGTGTGCCCCCTCTGGTCTCTCTTCCTCTTGTGATAAAGTCACTGGTTGGGGCCATCATGGCGGCCCCAACCTTATCACCTCATTGAACCCTAGTCACCTCCCAAAGGGTGATTCTCCAAATTCCATGCACAGGGGAATTTAGGGATTAAGTTTCCAACACATGGACTTTGGAGGGACACATTCTGGCCACACCATGTGCATTTGTAGGTTTTCACTTCTTTGGGATAAACACCTAGGAGTGATGCTAGATGCACACTTAGCTTCCCAGAGAGGTTACTCTCACCAGCAAGGTCCAGAGGTTCCAGTTGCACAGGGAAGGGGTTTTGGCCCCAGGGAAACTGCAGCAGTTCCAGAGCCCAGATGGACGGGAGGAAGGGAGGCCTGAAGGGGAGGCAGATAGTGGAGGCCGGCAGGAAGCAGCAGTTCTTGATTACACGGGTTTGCACAGTACGGAGAGCAGGGTCCCGGGGGGTCTCTGATATTTGGAATTACACCCTAGGGAAGATAGCAGGAGTCCCTGGATAGAGACGAAGAGAAGGATCGGCACCTGATCCCCAAGAAGGGGCTTCTGGATGGGACAGTAGATGGATGGGAAAGGACAGGCGCCCTCGCTGAAGAAGGAGGAGGCTGCCAGCGGGCAGTGAGGATCAGGGCGCAGGTCTCTCGGACCCAAGGGGCAGCTTCATTTGAGAAAGGATTTTAAATGCCACAAAATTCTTTAGCTGGCGGGGGAGGGGGGGCGGGGGGGGGCGGGACACGAGGCATGAGACAGAAGTCACCCAGGACCTAGGTCGTTCTGACCTAGAGCAGGTTTCTGCCTCCCTAACACCTTGAGGATCACCCCCTCCCTCTTGGCAGTTCTTACCTGGAATGTATAACATGAGTGACCAAGAACCAATCAGCGCCCAGAGCTTACCCTTGTTGACCAATGGGCGGGGGTGAGCCCTGGGGGGCGTGCCTGAGGGCGAGCCTCGACTGTGAAATCCCAGAGCCCTCGGACACGCTCTGGGGAGACCTTTTTCTGGACCAGGAGAACCTCTATTTTCTCCCCAGGTGGCCACTCTCGTTGTGGCTTAAGGCGCTCGAGGTTCCCACACGTGGTGTCCTCGACTTCCCTTTGGGGCTGACACATTCGTGCCATCCCCTTCTCACCTGCGGAGGCCTCTGCGGCACGGATTCCATGCCAGGCCCTGGAGTTCCAGGTCAGGGTCCCTCGGCCAGGAGGAACCAGAGAACCTCAGGCTGGGGGGCCACAGGCTTCCACAGAACAGCGGAGGCCTGATGGGGCCCCTCGCAGGGAGTCCTAGAGGAGGCCATACTGCGCTAGGGTGGGAGAGATGGGAGGAACGGTTGCCTGGGAGCAGAGGTAGAGGTCACCTTAGCAGGGCTCTGGAGGAACTTTCTGGGGCGATGTTCTGTTTGCTGATGATTTGGGAGCATATCGGTGAACACACTCGTCAAAATTTGCAGAAAGCATGCTTGGGATTCATGCATTTCATTCTAGGTAACTTTTAAATTTATGATTTTATCTGGCAAATAAAGATACATAAACGATAGAAAAAGTAATAGTCATCCCTTGGAATTTGTGGGGGATTGGTCCCAGAACCTTTCCCCCCGACACAGTACCAGAACCCATGGATGCCCAAGCCCTTCACACACAGAGGCATAGCATTTGTAGAGGGCCTCTGCACCTCTGGCTAAATCATCTCGAGTTGGCCTAGAGTGCTACATAAATGCAAAGTTGTTATACTGAGTTGCTTAGGGGAAAATGAGAAGAAAAACTGCATGCATGTTCAGTGCAGATTGTTTTTCTAGTATTTTCCACCTGAGTTGGTTGAATCCACAGATGCAAAGGGCTGACTGTATATGCGTGGCATATGATGTGATTTTTGATACATATACATAGTGAACTGGCTAAAATAAGCTATTAACATATGCATCACCTCACATATATGGTTAATTTTTTTCTTTCTGTACTGGAGATTGGACTCAGGACCTTGTACATGCTAGGCAAGTGCTCTACCACTGAGCCACATCCCCAAGCCTTTTTATTTTATTTTGAGACAGGATCTCACTAGGATGCTGAGTCTAGCCTTTGACTTGAGATCCTCCTGCCTCAGCCTCCCAAGTAGCTAGGATGACAGGCATGGCCCGTGCACTCAGTTATGTGTCATTTTTTTTCATGGTGAAAACACCTAAAATCTACTCTCAGCAATTTTCTTTCTTTTTTTAATTTTAATTTGTTATATATGACAGCAGAATGCATTACAATTCACATTACACATATACAGCACAATTTTTTTTATTTCTCTGGTTGTACATAAAGTAGAGTCGCACCATTTGTGCACTTAGGGTAATGATATCCATCTCATTCCACCGTCTTTCCTACCCCATTCCCCTCCCTTCCGCCCCCTCCCCTTTGCCCTATCTAGAGTTCATCTAGTCCTCCCATGCAGCATCCCCCCACCACATTATGAATCAGCCTCCTTAAATCAGAGAAAACATTTGGCATTTGGTGTTTTGGGATTGGCTTAACTTCACTTAGCATTATATTCTCCAACTCCATCCATTTATCTGCAAATGCCATGATTTCTCTCTCTCTCTCTCTCTCTCTCTCTCTCTCTCCTCTCTCTCTCTCTCTCTCTCTCTCTCTCTCTCTCTCAATGGACACAATACCTTTATTTTATTTGTTTATTTTTATGTGGTGCCGGGGATTGAACCCAGTGTCTCACGTGTGCTAGGCAAGCACTCTACTAAGCCACAACCCTGGCCCCGATTTTATTCTCTTTAATGCTGAGGAATATTCCATCGTGTATGTATACCACATTGTCTTTATCCATTCATCTACTGAAGGGCATTTAGGTTGGTTCTGCAGTTTAGCTATTGTGAATTGAGCTGCTGTGAACATTGATGTGGCCGTGTCCCTGTAGTGTGCTGTTTTTAAGTCCTCTGGGTATAGACCAAGGAGTAAGAGAGCTGGGTCAAATGGAATGGTGGTGCCGGGGATGTTCCTTGGAGACTCTAGGGATGAGTGGTTCATTCCAAAATTCAACTTTTCTGAATGCTTGAAAGTCATCCTAATGAAATATGGGGTCCGGGTGGTGATGGTTGCCCTCCTGGGGTTTGCTGTCTGGCCAGGAAAGGAGGGAGTGATGAGGTTGAATGGAAGTGATGTGCCCGTGTGGTGGATTAGAGATGGAAAAATCTAGAGAAGGAAAACTCCTTTCGCTGCATTTCTGGCCTGGGGGGGAGGGGGTAGAGGATGCAAAAGGGAAGCAGGGTGTGCCTTGGAAAGGCCCAGGGTGCTTGTGCTGGGAAGCAGAGTGTGGGGGCAGGGAGGGCAGTGGGTGGCCCCACTGTTGGGCGGCTGCATTGCATGACCACCCCCTCTAGGGCTAAATCAGCAAGTCACGGGGAGCTTGGATCCCAGTCGGGGTTCCCTGGTTGCTCTGGCCCCACCATAACCCCAGTTGCCACCTTCCAAGGAAGCAGCCTGGAGATGACCTCCCTGGTCTCCCACCTCTCCCCTCCAGAGCCCAGGAAACCCCCTCAGCTCCCGAGGGCTTCTTCCCAGGAAGGCGGAGGCATCAGGGGAAGAGACCGGGGGCTTCCAAAGCAGCAGCAGGCCACACTCTCTTCCAGCCCCTGGCAGCCTGTCCACATGGGGCTCAGTCCCCACCCCCTGGGAAGGCCAGGACTCTCGCCTGGACACAGGTGGCTCAAATGGATGGATTTGGCAGATGTGGAAAGAAAGCCCAGAGCTTGAAACCAGTGCGGGCCACGACCTTGCTGTGTGGACTCGGGCTCGTGGCTTTGCTTCTCTGAGCCTCAATTTTTGCATCTCCAGGGGGAAGGTAAAGCCAGTGTCTACCTAATGTATCACGGTCAGCTAAATTAGCCCCTGATCAATGGATACGTGGATCAAGATGTCCACACCCTAATGCCCAGAATCCATGAATATGTGACTTCATATGGCAAAAGAAACTGTGCAGATGGGATTAAGGGAAGGACCCTGAGGGCGGGGGACGGTTTTAGTCAGCTTCTTTGCTGCTGTGGTCAAAAGACCTGACAAGAACAATTTTAGAGGAGGAAAAGTTTATTTGGGGTTTCTCAGAAGTCTCAGTCTGTAGACGGCCAACTGCACTGCTCTGTGCCTAGGTGGGGCAGAACTTCATGGAGGAAGGGTGAGGAGGAAGACAGCGGCTCAGGACGTGACCATCAGGAAGCAGAGAGAGAGAGATTCTCACGGGGTGCAAAATTTATGCCCCAAAGGCATGTCCCCAATGACCCACCTCCTCCAGCCACAGCCTGCCTACAGTCGCCACCCTGCTCATCCCTGCCGGTGGATCAATGCACCATCAGGTGAGGCTCCCATAACCCAGTCATTTCACCACGGAATTTTCTGGTATTGTCTCACACATGAGCTTTGGGGTGACACCTCGTGCCTAAATCATAACAGAGGTGATCCTGGGTTATCCCAGGGGCCCAGTGTCACCGCAGGGCTCTCCTGAGAGGCAGGCAGGAGGGCCAGAGTCAAAGCAAGACTGGAAGATGCTGCGCGTCTGGCTCTGGAGCTGGAGGAAGAGGAGGCAGGCACCGCTAATTCTCCCCCAGCCCCTCCAGAAGGGACCGGCCCTGCCCTCATCTGGACTGTAGCCCCGGGGAGAGACATCTTGGGCTCCCAACCTCTAGACCTGGCAGATCCTACCTCAGTGTGTAGGCCACTGGACGTGTGGTGGCTTCCTCCAGTGCCATGGGAATTTCACTCAGGTGTGATGCCCATGTGTTAACTATGTGCCAGGCCCTGAGCCAGGGCCTGGGGACACAGCGGTGACCAGAGAGACCACCCTGCCCTCCTGGAGCTCCTGTCTTGGTGGGGGATGATAAAGAAGCAAACCAGACATGTGCACACACCTGAAGGGACACCGAAACCTCACAGCGGTGAGGTCAGGGCCAAGGGGCATGTCAGCCAGGGTCATGTCCTGCAGAGGGCAGAGACCTGGAGGGAGAGGAAGGACCGTCTACTCCATCAGCAGTGGGAAGGAACGATGGTGTTGGCCTCCCGGCTGGTGCAGGTTGAGGGAGCAAACGGGGTGAGTGGGCCAAGGAGGATGCCCACCTGTGGGTCCTCATGTCCTGCAGGGATTTCGGGGGTTTTTGCTAAGAGCCTCTGGGTAGAGGGCCGGTCGATCCCGGGAGATGGGTTTCCTGAAATGCTGCAAAAACATGTTGTCATTTTCTGAGGCTCCCGGAACCCAGAACCGTGCTGAGCACACACGGATGTGAGGGAATTGCCCTACTCCCACCCCACAGACGAGGAAACTGGGTCCCAGAAAAGAAGCAATCACCCTGCAGCCGGGAGAAGATACAGGGGCGGAGCTGGGACCTCACGACTGCACTTATCCACAGCAGGGTCCCCTGTGAGGGGCAGTGACCAGGTGTGGGTCCAGCAGAAGACAGCAACCCCACTGCCTGCCAGACCCAGGGGGCCTGGGAGCAGGAGTGGAGAAGAAAAACACACAGACCTCCTCCAAAGTCCCTAAGAAGTTGGAGCCCTGGGTCCCTGAGGGAAGGGTCTAGGGTCCTGGCTTCCTGGGTGCCTAAGGGGCTGAGCCTGGGCCCCTGAGGATCAGATTAGGGTCCCAGATTCCTGACTCCATAAGGAGCTGGGGGCCTGGGTCCCTGGGGGTTGGCGTGGGGTCCAGGCCTCCCGGATCCCTAAAGAGTGGGGGATCTCTGGATCTCTGAGGGTGAGGTCAAGGGTTCTGACTCGGGTCGAGGGCTGGTCTGTGAGGGCTGGGAGCAGAGGCCTGGTTTCCTGGTCTCCAGGGAGTGGGGGGCCTGCTCAGAGTAGAGCTTGAAGTCCAGGATTTCTGGGTCTCTGAAGGTTGAGAGTCCCCAACTCTCAGGGAACTCGGGAATTCTCAGAGAGAAATCCCCTAACCTCCCAGTCTAGCCCAGGGCCACCCTCAGAAGTCCCAGCTGGGCCTGCCCAGCCTCCTCCTCTGTGGGGTGTCTAGGAGCCTGAGGGAGGCAGGAAGGAGGGGCTGCAGGCCCAGGACTCCCTCCTGAGCTCTGGGGAGCCCTGCAGAGGGGAGGGTGTGGACAAGTCCACCTGTGTCCCCTCCTGAGAACTCCCTCCCACAAATGCCAGCCTTTCCAGCCTCTCCAGACCCTGCCCCCAACATCACACAAACAAACAGGCTCTGGCTCCAGTCCCGGGCCTCCAGGAAGGCCACAGAGCTCATCCCACTGCCCGTCCCTCTTCCTGTTGATCTGTTCTCAGGGGGTCAGGGTAGGGAAGCACTTGATGGGGGGGTGTGACTGGGTCTTGGGGCCACCGCCCTGGCCCTTCTGGGAAGAGTCCACAGCTCAGGACTGGAGAAGGAGATTTAGAGGACCATGGGGGCTCAGCCTCGATGATCAAGGCAGCTTTTGTGCAAACTGGCCCTCCAGGTGGGGACAATGGCCTACGCAATGACCAAGAGCTCTGGGAAGTTCAGGCACTTGGAGAGTCTTGGAGGGAGTGGGGGAGGTGTAGCTGGAGAGGCCCAAGTGCAACCTTGAACACCAGGCTGCAGGGAGCTGGGACTTTAGGACTAGAGTAGAAGGGAGCCAGAAGGTGACCCACAGGAGGGAGACGTGGTCGGACGGCTGTGGTGCAGGGAATGGGCTGAGGGGCCTCAGGAAGACCATGGAGGGTCTTGCTGCCATTGTCTGGGACAAAGGAAGATGGCTGGTGTTGGGGGCATTCAAGAGAAGAGATGGGCCGTCAAACGATGGTGCATGTGCAGGTAGGAGCAGGAAGGAGGCAGGTGACTTGCAGCCTCTGGCTGGTGCCCAGCGGTGGTGAGGGGCAGTGCTGTGCTAGCCTGGGGCAAGGACTGCGTCCAGGCTCACTCTGCTCCAGCCACACTGACTCCTTGGTGGTCCTCCGGCACCAGGCAGCAGGGCCCAGGGTCTTCGCGGTGGCTGTTCCTCTGCACGGACCCCTCCCCCACCTCCACAGGCTGGTTCCTGCATACAGCTCAGGGGTCCCTGCTCAGATGTGGCCCACGCAGAGGGCTTGGCTGACCAGCCTGCTGAGCCAGCTCCTATGTCACCTTTGATCTGCTTTAGGACTCTCGTCACCATCAGACATCGGTCTGCAGCCCTGATGGAATGACAGGTCCACGTGCTGCTCTGCCCAGGGCGGGGCGACAGCCTGCAGCAGGAAACCTGCTGAGTGAATAGCGGGAGGGAAGGAAAAGATGAACAAAGAGGCTCAGGAGAGAGGCCTGGGCTGAAGACAGTGACGTGGGGGGTCAGCAGGTGGAGGGTGATGCTGAGGGTGGTGGAGAGGCGGAGCGAGCGTCCCGGGGAAACCGAGGCCTGCAGGCTGGAGGAGAGCAAGGGGAGGGGGCGTGGCTTCCGTCACGAGCAGCTCAGAAGACCAGCAGAGGGCGCTCGCCTGCGTCTGTCTCCACCACGTCCTGCCGTGCGGGTGTGTGTGGGGGTGTGTGTTGCACATCTGGGTTGTGTCTCCGTATGTCCCTACTTTTCGTTTATGTGTTTCTGTGCAAATATATGTGTGTGTGTGTTTATGTGCGTGGTCCTGTTGTGTGTCTGTATCCCGCTCGGTGTGCTACCTATAGTTTGATTGTGTGGGTCTACATCTCTGGGCTCGTGCTGTGTGTTGTGTGTGTGCCTGTGTGTCAGTGGTTGTACTGTGTTGTATCTCATGTGGTTTGTGTGTCAGTAGTTTAGCTGTATCTTGCATATATGTCGCATGTGTCCATGGGTGGCTTCCGTGTGTTTTTTGTGATGTGTGTGTGGTTTGGCTGTGTTGTGTCTGTGTTTCTGTGTGTCTGTGCACACACTGTGTATGCCTACTGTATCTGTGTTTGTGCTGTGTGGTCTCTTTGTGTGTGTTGTGTAGATGTCTGTGGGTTATATCTGTGTGTGTGGTCTTATTGTGTTCCGTTGGATTGTGTTGTGTTTGTGTGTCTGTATCTTGTGTACAAGTGTGTTGTGCTTTTATTGTGTGGTGCCTGTGTGCTGGGTGTCTGTGACTTGTTCGTGTGTGCCTGTGTGTTGGGGGGCCCACACCCCGCATTCCTTGCACTGACAAATCCTGGGAGACCTCACTGGGCTCACCCTACTTCAGAATTCCCAATTTCCCCCTGTGTCCCTCAAGAGGCTAAGTCCCTGGCCCACAGGGTAGCTGACCAGCACTCGGGTGTTGGTGCCCTCCCCTGGAGAACAGCCTGTGGGGCGGGGTGCAGAGGCTGCTGAGCCAGGCATCCAGGGGTGGGGAGGCCGTGGGCCTCAGGCTTTGCATGGACCTCCCCAGGGGAGGCATGAAGGCTGGGGCTCCCTAGGGGGACCCACAGTGGCATGAAGCATTTGAAACTAAAGGCACAGAAGCTCTGCTCCTCCCTGAACCGTCCACTCAAGCCACCACCTAAGCCAGGCTCCAGCAGCGAGGGTCGGAGCCAGCTGCCACCAGGCCCACCCGCCTCCACCACCTGAAAGTGGCCCGCACGTGTGTGGTGTCAAACTTCTTCTTCATGCAACCATGGGCCTGGGACGTGATGCCCACTGGGATGAGTCGGCCTCCCACCGACACCACAAGATCCACTCCCAGGAGGTCCTAGGAGGCCCTAGGAGCCACAGAGAGGGAGTAGGAGGGTGGGTGGCAGGGGCTGGGCGGGCTGGAAGCTTCAGCTTGGAGGGTGAGAGCTCTGGGGACAGCCGCACAGTGTGACTGTGCTTAACGCCCTGGACTCTGCGCTCAGACAGGGTGTTGTGCGTATTTGACCTCAGTTAAAGCAAAACCAGAACAATGTGACACTGCTTTCTCTGCGTCTAGGAATCGCGTTTCTAAACGGTGGTGATCAGTGGTGGCACAGAGCAGGCAGGGGCCAGGATGGTCCCCAGCAAGGAGTCTCTGCCCCAAGATCAAAAGTGTGGAAAATGAGCAGCGCGGCTGGAAGGACCTCCTCCAGGGAGCCCCCCTGGATTTGGCATGCCCACTGCCCTCCCCTGTCCCCAGGTCTCCCGCTCCCCTGCACTTGGAAACCCCAGGAGTGGCCCAACAGTTCCGGGAGCCTGGGGCTGTCTTGGGACAGGGCTGGGTCAGGGCTGTAGGCTCCGCCCACCCAGGTGCACAGTCCAGACGGGACCTCTGCGTGGCAGACGTGGACACTGGGCCCCACCCAGAGCCCCGAGGAGGGTTGGGAAAGGGAACCCGCTGGGGTCAAGCAGGAGTCGAGGTTCTGGGCAGGGCTGGGCCTGGCTGGATCCCAGCTGGACCCCAGGCTGGCTCCTGCTGAGGCCAGAGCCTGGACGCAGGGCGAGCAAGGCCCCACCCCAGGCTCAGTGATCGCCACCCTGAAAGGAGAAGCTACACCCTCAGACCCGGGGCCCACATCCGCCCCGTTTCCTGTTTTCCCCCGAAGTGTGCGGGAGATGTGGGTCGATACCCCCGAGAGGAAGGGGCAGGACCGTCGCGTGCCCGGTCCCCTGGGCCCCAAGCATCCTCTTGCCTGAGTGGAGTCTGGACGAGGACCCAGCATGGAGCCTGGGAGGCGCCGGTGGGAGAGTGGGCTCCCGTGGACAGGAGCGGGGACACCACATCCCGTCCCTCCCCCTGCCCTGACAGGACTCGTTCCCAAGATTCTCCCCTGTCCTGAGTGGCCCTCAGTGGACCGCAGGCTGTCTTCTCGGACACCCCAGAGGAGCCCAGGCGCTGTCCACAGCACCTCCCAACCCTCCACCCACACCTCAAACTGGCCTGTGGCCACCCCCCAACAGCCGCTGCCCAGGCTGCCCCTCCAAGGTCCTCCCGCCTGCTCCTCCCTGGCCACCCAGCCCCCAGCCCCTGTCAAGCGCAGGGTCCCTGCTGTCCTGAAGAGCACCATCCAGAGGACAGTTCAGCCAGGTGCCTCTCTGCCAGTGGGGAGGCTGATGTCCAGCTCCAGTGGACAGCCCAGCCTGGTCAGGCCTGGTGGGGGGTGGGGAGGTGGGCATCTTCCCATCCAAGAGACATGGAGGTGGGTTGAGGGAAAAGGCCATTCCTCCATCAAGGATCAGAGGACGTTTTACAAATGAAGAGCACGTGAGATGAAGGGCCAAGGGGTCCGTGTCAATAGGAGGTTGGGTGGTATAATGGTTAGGGCTGCCCACACTGCCTGAGTTCAAATCCCAGCTCTGTCATTTATGAACTGTGTGACCCTGGGCACGTTACTTAACCTCTCTGTGCTCTACATCTTTTAACCATAGGCAGCATGGATAACCAAAGTATCAACTTCCCAGGTGGTTGTGAAAACCAAATGTGTAAGGCACCAAGGTGCCAGGCCTGTGGTTCTGATCTTGACTCTACCACTTCCTCCCCCAGAGTTGGAGGGCGAAGGCTGGCATGGCTTTCACTCAGTTCTCTTACCTAAGAAATGAAGATAATAATAGCCCGGACTTCCCCCGGTTGCGGGGAGCCCCAGAAAAGACCATGTGTGCACTGCGGTTATCCAGGTGGTGAGCCCACAAGGTCTGTGACAATAGAAGCCACCAGTGGGTCTAGCTGTCTCCGGCAGCTCCAGCCTCTCTCCACCGCTCTGGGCCACGCTGACTTCACGGATTGGCACCCGCGCACCAAGGGGACAGGGACGCGCTACAGGCCTGAGTGAGGCTGTGGCTGTGAGGAGGTTGAACACAGACAGGTATGTGATCGTGTGTGCACGTGCGCGTGTCAGGGGCTTCACAGGCTCTTGGAAGACACACCTCGAGCTGAGCCTCCGGGGGTGACAGGAGGAGGTTGTAGCCTGGGAAGAGAGGTGGGTGGTGGGCAAGGGGGCAACCGTGTGGACAGAACAGGAGGCCTGGGCCACCAGGTTTGGGCAAGTGAAATCCAGCCAGCAGGCTGGACCGAGCAGAGGAGAGCTTGGGGGGTGCCCTGGGACTGATCGGGGAGGTGCTGGGGAGCCACGGAAGGCTGTAGGCAGGGACGAGACCTCTCAGATTAAAAATATGGCCAGGTGTCAGGATCCTGCCACTTGCCAGCAGACACCCTTCCATGAAGCCTGTGTTTCCAGATAGTTGATCAAATGTCCAGGGTTTCAGTCCCAGTCCTGTCACTATGTGAGGCAGACCCCTCTTGGTGTCTCTGAGGGCCCGTGAGAGGCCATGTGGAGTGAGGAGGTGCCCACGGATTACGAGGCAGCTCTGTGGCTCTTCCCAGTGCACAAATAGGTAAACTGAGTCACCCGTCCAGGGAGAAGCCAGAGCTCTGGTCAGGCGCGTCCCGCTACCCCAGGACGGGGACACTTGGCCTCCTCCCGTGACGGTGAGGAGCTGGCTTGACCTGCAGCTAATCAGAGCCTGGCCAGCCCTCGTCGCCACCTGCCTAAGACTCAGAGAGGGCAGGCAACTTGGCACCAGGAGGGGGACAGCTGTGACCCAGGCTCACTCTCCCACATGTGGAGCCTTAGAGTCAGAGGACCAGGAGCCATTGGGGGACAGAGTGCCGGCACTTCTCAGCAGCTTGATAAACATTTAGGCTCTGAAGACCCCCTGCAGGCAGCACCACACTGACACCCTCCCGGGCACTATCCCCTTGATGAGTTGGGTGCTTTGTCATCCCCATTTTACAAAGGACAAAACTGAGGCTCAGAGAGGTTGACCCCTCCGTTGAGGCTGCACAGTATCCCAGTCAGAGCTGGTGGTATTTGGGTGCTTCTGTTGGGCTGGCCTGGGTCAGAGAATCCCACACATTCTCATATCTCCATTTTACGGACAAGAGAAGAAACGTTGAAGTCCAGTCGTGTGCCAAGACCTCGCTGGCACACGTTTACAGAGTCTCACGTGTGATGGGCGAGGGTAGCGTGGCCTCAGGTGGCTGAGGACACACCAGCTTATCTCCCAGTTGACCCCGAGGCTCATGATCAAAACAATCAGCAAATGGACACTGGGTCCCCCCAGGTCCCAGATTCTGTCCCGTGCCGATGGCCAGAGCTCCATGCTGCATTAAAACCCAGGTCCCAGGCGGAGCTGTGACGGGCCGTGGAGGGACTACCTTGGCGGGCAGTGAGCGTCCCGTCACCAGGAAGATCCCAGCAGGACTGCCATGGCGGGACACGAATACGCAGGTGGGAGGACTCCCGGGGTCACCTGGCAAGAGCAGGTCCCTGTCCTACATCCGCCAGGGGAGGAGGGGGATCCCCCCAGCCGCAGGGCACATTTCTAAGAAAGGCCCCAGTGAGTGGGAGGTGAGCCAGGCGGGAGGAGGAAGCCAGGCCCCTCCCTGCGCTGACTCAACGCCTCTCCACAAAACCCCGCTCAACCAGAGCTGGTGCCCGGGGAGCGGAGGCCGAGTGGAGCAGGACAGGGACGGGGTCAAGTGGAATCTGGCATGACGAGCCCTCAAAGCCAGAGTGAAGAGGGGCGGGGCCAAAGTGGGTGATCAGGGAGAGCCTTGGGGAGCCAGGTGCTGGGGTGAGCCTGGGGGACCTAGATGCAGGGGAGGACTGAGACCCGGGGAAGGGGGTCAGGGCTGGTGACAGGCTTCTGGATACATCTTGAGGGGCCAAGTGTAGGGATGGGGGAGCAGCCTCTGGAAAGGACCTGGACCCACATCAGACTCACCGCCTGCTGGAGTGTGAGCAGGCACCAAGCTGGACAGGCAGAGCCGAAGGGACAGACTCAGAGAGGCAGAGACGGACAGACAGAGCTCAGGAGGGCTGACAAACACCCTGGACAGTGTGGACGGGGGCACTGGTCAAGAGCAGCATGTGGAGACAGTGGGCAGGAGAAGCTGGGGGTCCACTGAGACCCTCTGCTGCAGTGTGGCTTCTGGACATGTTCCCAGAATATTGGGGCTCTGGGTGAAGGGGAGATGAGCAGAGCTGGGCCCAGCCTCCTCCTGGGCCCCTCATTGCTCCCTAAACCCCCCACCCCGGGCAGGGTTCTTGGAGCCCCCCAGGAGGCGATGCTGCAGGCCGAGGCTGCCGCTCGTACTGTTGGGGATGCTGACCGCAGTGCTGTGGGCTGGGCTGCTCACCCTGCTTCTGCTGTGGCGTAAGGACACCCCCAGCCCCATGCCCCACCCCCCGGGCCCTTTATCCCCCCGCACCTCATCTTAGCACCAGGAGAGCCCCACCCCCTTTGGAGCCCAATTTCCCCAATTGCCAGTCCCTCCTTGGAGCCCCCCACACACACTTCCCTGTCCCCCAGCCTTTGAGCAACTCCCTCAAGCTGTACCCCAAGCCTCCGACCCCTGCTGGCAGGGGGTAGGGGTGCGTGGAAGCAGCTGGTGGTCCTCACCTTCTCCCCTCCCCAGACTGGGACACTGAGCGGAACCTGAGACAGCTGGAAGACTCTGCTGCCCGGAACGGTAGGGGAGGCCGAGGTGGAGGCTGGGACACCCTGCTCTTGTCCCCCTTCTACCACTGACACTGGGGACGGCCCCTCCCTGGGCCTCAGTGTGCCCCCGTGACGCCCCCTCCCCGCGGGCTTGGAGGCTGCCCTGCCGGCCTCGTCCACTCCTCTGCAGTGGGTCCCTGTCAGCCGTGGGCTGCGCCTGGGCAGACGCACAAAGCCCTCGGGGACTTCTGCATTTCACCCTGGTGAGGGGAGGGTCCACAGGTCCCTTCTCTTCCTGCTGCATCTCCCTGAGTATATGCCCGCCTCCCCCCTAAAACCCTCGAGAAACGAAAAGCCACCGTTGGTGACGATGCGAAGGAGGCCCCCTCGCTTCGGGGGCAGGAGGGGTTCAAGGCCCCGTCTTGGTAGTTCCTGAGGACACTTCTTCTGTCCCACGCCCCAGTCTCTCAAGTTTCCAAGGACCTGCACAGATACCAGAGTGACCAAATGGCCCAGAAGTCCCAGGGTGAGCCTCTTCTGGATGGGGACTCGGAATGGGGGAGGATGGGGGCTTGGGTGGCCACTGCACACACCATGGCAGGGCCCAGTGTGACACCTGCCACACCTGGGGACTGAGCAGGCAGCCCTGAGAACCCAGAGAAAGAGGCTGGGAGCCGGGTGGGGATGTGGGAGGCTTGGGGACTCAGGGGCCACTTCTCTGAACCAGCTGCTCAGCTGTCGCAGAACGTGAAGAGACTCCAGGCCCAGCAGATGCAACTGGAATCTCAGGGTGAGAGACGGGCAGGGGCCCGGGGCAGACTGTGGGAGGGACAGCCCCAGAGCCACGGGGGAGCAGGCCCGGGGACCCTCTGGCCCCTACGCATTGTCCCCAGCCCTGCCCTCTTACATCTGCCAGACTCTGAGCTCTCCTGGAACCTGGACAGACTCCGAGCAGACCTGAGCGACAGCAAGTCCCAGAGTGAGGCTTGGGAAGGCCGGGGGGGGGGGGGGGGGGGGGGGGGGGGGGCTGCCGCTTGTCCCTGAGCACCGCCCCCTTCCTGTCCCCCAAGGCTTGAATGAGAGGCGTGCCGCCTCCGACTCGTTGCAAAAGCTCCAGGAAGAGGTGGCCAAGCTGTGGATGGAGATACTGGTGTCCAAGGGTGAGTGTGGGTCTGGGGCCCGTGGGGGCACGGTCACTGTGGTGTGCTGGAGACACACATGACGGCTGGTGTGCGTGTGCATGTGGGGTGTCTGTGTGTCTGTGCAGCAGTGTCTCTTGGGGACACAGGGGGTGTGTGAGGCAGGGTTTGCCTGGGGATGTCGATGGGTCCAGGCTTGTGGAGGAGGGGGGCAGCTGAAGGACAGAGATGCCCTCGGGATTCAACTGCCTCCCTCGCTGATTCCAGGGCTCCCAAGCCTTTAGCCGGCTCTGGGTCAAATCAGTCCAGGATTGACCCCTACTGGGTTCCCTTTTCTGCTGTCCTGCCCACCCAGGGGGCTCAGCGGGGTGGGGTGGGGGCAGACATCAGCAGGATTCACTCCTCACCCACCACCGCAGCCCCCTGGTAGACTGACCTGTCCGGGGAGAGGGAGGGGTCTTGACCAGGAGGCCAGCAGGCTGCAGAGAGCCCAGGAAATGGTGCCTGGACTGCTGTCAGCCCCCCACCTACACCCCTGCCCTCCATCTTCCCTTTTCCACCTCCGGGGAGGCCCCACTGTCCCCCCCCACCCACCCGGTAAAGAGGAGGAAGGACCCTGCTTCAGAAGAAGTCCCAGGCCCCAGGGTGTGGCGTGGCTCTGGGAATCCCAGCAAGAAACCCCCCTGTGGTCCCCTGGGGAGGGTGGTGGATGTGGGGCTCCAGGTGGTGCTACCCCTGACCCACCTCCCCACTTCCACCTCTCCTTGAGGTCTACTCCCCCCCCGCCTGGGATCTGAGCCCAGCTCTGGCACTGCCTCTGGGTGACCTTGTGGTGACAGCCAAGACACCTTTCCTGAACTTTTCTTTTTATGATTAGTTTTTAAATTGACATGGGGTCTTGCTACTGCTGCCCAGGCCAACCTCGAGCTCCCAGGTCAAGCGATCCTCCTGCCTCAGCCTCCCAAGTTGCTGGGGCCACAAGCCCACATCACTATGTCCAGCCCTAAGGCCTTCTCTCTGGGCCTAGAGTTGTTCTCTTTCCATTCAATGCTGTGCCCACAGAGGGCTGGGGACTGGTTGCCATTTCCAGCCCAAGCCCCCTCCCCATCTCCAGAGCCTTCCCTACACAACACTATAAAAAGGTCTAGTTCAGGGCTAGAGAGGAGCTCCCTGGTGCAGCGTGTGCTTAACATGCATGGGACCCCGGGTTTGATCCCAAGCACCAAAAGAAGAAAGAAAAGGGGGGGGGGTCTACTTTAAAGCAAGAGAGAACCAGCCAGTAACGGTAGGTTTAAGCTCCCACCTTGGAGTCCTGGGGACCATGACTGTTTCTGAGGGCTTCCCCGGGATGGGGAAAGGGGAGAAAGAGACCAAGCTGGCCTCACACAGGCGCTTGGGGACTGGCCCTGAGGTCCCTTCTCCGTCCATGTACCTCTAAGCAGAGGGAAGCCAGCCATCTTGGCTCCCCAGAAAGGAGCCAGGAGATCTGGTCTGGGGGTGCTGCCAGTGATGGTGGCCACCACTGTCACTGGAGCTGTTGGTGGTGATAGAGCCCAGGGCAGCGTGCTGGTGACAAAGATGTGGCTGGCAAGGTTGGTAAAGGTGGCGTCTGCTCTGGTGTGGGCCATGGAGACAGTTGCTGTGGCAGCTGGTGCCTGTGGCAATGACATTGGTGATGAAGGGGCTGCTGACCTTGGAGGTGTCCGTGGTGATGCTGGTGATGAGGTGATGCGGCAGTGGCGTCTCTGTGACGAAGGCGGTGGTGATTAATGTGCCCGTGGAGGGGTTTGTGGTGGTGATGGTTGGGCTTGTGTTATGTCCATGGTGTTGGTGACCACGGGTTCACGTATAGTGACGATGCCAGCAGTTGAGGGGTTTCTGGCCATGGACCAAGGTGCCTCTGGCTGTGAGGTGGTGTGTGGGCTGGTGTGCCCTGTATGCCCTGGAGCTGGTCCTGCGTGGCCTTGTCAGAGCCCAGTGAAGAAGTCAGCCTGCGAGACTGTCAGGCTCTGGGGAGGACCCACAAGTGGCTTCAGGGGACATCCACCCTGCCCACCATGCCCACAGTGCCCATCATGGTGCCCACCGCCCTGCCACCCTGAGCCTCTCCTCCGTGTGCCATCCCAGGCTCCACGTGCAACACGTGCCCCGAGGGGTGGCTCCATTTCCGACAGAAGTGCTACTACTTTGGCCAGGGCGCCAAGCGCTGGGTCCAGGCCCGGTTCACCTGCGACGACCTGGAAGGGCGTCTGGTCAGCATCCACAGCCAGGAGGAGCAGGTGGCCTGGGCTCCGCTGAGGCTGCGGGCAGCAGGGTGGGGGGCGGGCGTCCCACCCCAGCCTCCTGGAGTGAGCGGGAGGGACCGGGCCCATCTCCAGCCTGGTCCTGCCTCCCAGGACTTCCTGACCAAGCGTGCCAACAAGAAGGGCTCCTGGATTGGCCTCCGGGACCTGGACTTGGAGGGGGAGTTTATCTGGATGGACGGGAGCCCCCTGGACTACAGGTGAGAGGGGGCCTTGGGGGACAGGTGCGGAGGTGGGGGCGCCCCGGCAGGGCCTCAAGGAGGACGCCCAAGCCCAGAGTGGAAGGCAAGCCTAGGCTCAGGGCAAGGCTGAGCGGGGACAGGGGAAGGAGACAGTCACAGACCCAGAAAGGGGAACCCGGGACAAGAAGGGAGGACGACGGGGGCGGGCCCAGACTCAGGGGGACCTGCCAGGGGCCGGGAGGGGCTGCCATCCTCTGACCCAAGCCTCTCCCCCCAGCAACTGGAATCTGGGGGAGCCCAACAACGGGGACCAGGGCGAGGACTGCGTGATGATGCTGGGCTCGGGCAAGTGGAACGACGCCTCCTGCCGCAGCGAGCTGGACGCCTGGGTGTGCGAGCAGCTGGCCACCTGCGGGCCACCCGCCCCCTCAGCCTCCGGGGATGTGCTGGAACCTGTACCCACAGAAGGGCACTGACAGACCCCTGCCCACCTCCCCCCACCCGCACCTCGATCACAGGAACAGCTGAGCCCAGAGTGGGACCCTAAGGACCCCCAGCAAGGCCTGGGTGCCACTTTGTAGCTAAAAGTTCCCTGTGACATCCCTCCCCAAACTGGCCCATCCCTGCTCCCGTCAGCGCCCCAGAGGGCCTTTCCCTTGCTTTTCAGCTAAACTGGTCATCACCACTTCCCGCCTTCAAAGGCCCGGTGCCCCCAGAGCCTGTGCCGGCCGTTGGCAGGATGGAAGACCCTCGCGGCGCTGGTACAGACTGGCAGCCCTGCCACCCCGGGCGCTGCGGGGGACACAGGGTCTCTCGCCTCAGACCACCCTGTGCTTCGTCTGTGACTCCCACCCCATCAGGAGTGCCCTGTCCCCTCCCCGTCTTCAGCACCTTAGGACAGAGACCCCCAGCTCAGGCAGCCAGGCCTGCTGCCCGGCCTGCCTCGGTGGCCCCTGCTCTTGTCCCTGCCTCGGGACAGGCTGGAGCTGGTGCCCCAGGCCACCCAGCTGAGGCGCAGTTCGGGCCTCCCTGCCAACTCTCTCTCCCTTCACCACAAGAAATGGGCGCTAGGTGAGGCCTGGAGATGAAGACTGCGGGGTGCAACGGACCCTGGAAATTTGTAGGTCAAGGCAGTGGACCCCCAGCCAATCCCCCCACCCCAGGGCCCCAGAGGGAGGGCACAATTGAGGCAGGGGCAGTGTCCAAACACGGCTGGTGCAGAGAAGGCGCTCACAGGAAAGCGCTCACAAAGTGCTCTCTGGATAGGGGACAGGGGGGGGACCTGGTGACTCAGGCCAGTTCAGGTCTGGAAGGGCCCGGGAGGCTGAGGCAGCAGAAGGTGGACCCAGACTGACAAGGGTCAGCCAGTGCCAGGGACAGAGGGAGGAAGCAGGTCAGGATCCCAGGTCAGGCCAAGGCTGGGGTCCCCTTGGCCTCGGCTTTTTCCCTGGAGACCCCTCCGCGTCTGCAGGAAATGCCTCGTTCAGAACCCGCTTCCTTCTCACCCTGCCGCTGCCTTGGTCCTGCTCCACCTCACCCCCCACATGGTCTGTTCCAGCTCCAAGTCTTCCCTGCTCTTTTTGAGACGGGGTCTGTGTGGCCGAGGCTAGCCCCAAACTCCTGGGTTCAAGTAATCCTCCTGCCTCAGCCACCCGAGCAGCTGAAACTACAGGCACACGACACCACACCCTGCTCCAGTCTCCCTCTTCACTGTCCCCAAACCTTCCATAAGTTTCCTGACAGCTCAGAGGAAAAAACAAAGTCCTTTAGGTTCCCTGTATGATGGCAGAAGCCCTCATGCTCCCCCCCACCTGCCTCCCCGCTATTCCCTGGATATGTGTGCTCGCCCACCTCAGGGACTTTGCATGAGTTCCTCCTGCTCAATCCTCCCTCCAAGTTTTTGCTCTCAGTGGGGTTTGTCCCAACTTCCCCACCCACCCAATTTAAAATCACAACCCCAGAATGGGAGTGCAGCTCGGTGGTAGACGCACCTTACATGTGCAAAGCCCTGGGCTCGTCCTCAGCACTGCAAAATAAATAAATAATAAATAAATAAAATTGCACCCTGATGTTTCTCCCACTCTCAATTAGAATGTGAGCTTCAGAAGGGCAGATACCTTCATTTCCTTCTAAGCCTTGTCTCCTGTGTCTGGCTTATAATAGATGGCCAATAAATATTTGTCTAATAAATATGCATGACCATGGACAAATGACCTCTCGTGGACTCTGCTTTGTAGCCCATGAAATGGTGATGTGTCTTGCGTGGCTCACCACCGACTGGTGCTTGGCTCATCCTCCTTCCCCTACCCACCAGTCTGGGGGCTCCAAGGAGTTTACTTGCAGCCCAAAGCATCCTAAGTCAGAGCTGTAGTGATCACAAGCTGCCTCCCCTTCTACTCTCGTCCTGAACAGGGACCAGCTCTGCATCCCACAACTTGTCCACACTCCTCTTCAGCAGGAGCAGGCAGACCCTGGACCCTCCATTCCCAGTTGACCAGCTCTCCCGTCTTCCCTATTTCTCTCTGGCATCCTCACTGCCTCTGGGTAGACTTGGCTGCTCCACTTCCCCTCCTGCCTCTTGCTCCTGCAATCTGATCACCTCCTCTCCAGCAGGCCCTGGAAGCCACTCTCACCAGGGTCCCCAGGATGTGACTGAGGATGCTAAGCTCAAAAATGCCTGCATCTCCCTCCATACATACCCATCTCCTTCTGTTTACCAAGACTCCAGCCCCTCATCCTTCCTCCAGGCCTCTGGCTTCCTCTCTGCAGAGGCTTCCTCTCTCCAGCCCCAGACCCCTCTCCTGAAATCAGGGATCCCAACTCCCAGACAGGTACACCAGTTGGCCTCTTAGATTGACCCCACCCAAGCCCTCTCCCAGAGTCACCCCTGTCCCAGACAACTATTCTGTGACCACCTGTGCTTCAAGACGCAGGTAATCAACATTTTTGTTTTTCCAGTGCTAAGGAATGAACCCAGGGATGCTTTACCACCGAACTACAACCCCAGCTCTTTTATTTTCATTTTGAGAAAAGGTCTTCCTAAGTTGCTGAGGCTGGCCTGACACTTGAAATACTCCTGCCTCAGCCTCCTGAGTTGCTGGAATTACAGGTGCATTCTACCGCACCCGACTTACTAGTTTTATTCATCCTCTTGACACCACTCTCTTGCTAACATGCTGGAGGCCACCCTGGTCTGCCGCCTCTTGCTGGGATGCTGGAACTGTTCTCCGACAAGACCAGTGTCCCTCAGTCATGGGACAGCTAGGTGTAGCATCTAAATAGCAACCGTTCAGAAGTCACTTGTATGGGTCCTGGCAGTGGGGGCAAAAGGAAGTGGAGATTTGGCCAAAAATTAGGAGGATGCTTCCTGGTGAGAAAGAGGGATCAGCTGGTAGGCAGAAGGGAAAGGAAGGCTACTTGTGTGATCTTTTAATTTTCAGCAAGAAAAATATTGGTATATCAAATGTATTTAAAATTAAGACATTTTAAGTGTAAAGATGACTTTAGACTCCCACCCCCCTTTTGAGAGACAGGTCCCGATAGCCATGGATCTCGAAAGTGCTGTTCCGGGAGCTCAAGGAATGCAAATTCTTGAGCACACCACAAACCTGCAGGATCTGAGACTCTGGGGGTAGGCCCCAGCCAGTTGTTTTAAGAAACTCTCCAGGTAATTCTGATGTCCTAAAGCACTGCTTCTGAAACTAAGGTACACAGGGGTCCCCAGAAGATTCTGCAACAGTTTAGATTCTGATTAAGAGATTTTGCACTCTGACAAGAGCCCAGGTGATACTAGTGCTGCAGGTCCCTGGACCACATTTGAGTAACAAAGGTCTAGGGGTAGAGGGAACAAGCACTCTTACCCTGTTTTAAGGGCACACGGCCACACCCATTCCTTTGCACCTTCTCAGGCAACCTTCAGACTGTCAACAGAGTGACGGGACCACACCACAGGGCATAAAGCATCTACTCGCTGGTCCCTGGCACAAAGTCGGCCATCCCGGGCTCCATCTTAGCCTGATCTCAACCCCCATCCCCCAGCCCTCCACCTTGGAGACAGCCTCTGTGATTCTACGAAGTGCTGGCACTCCCACCATCTCCCGCTGCCTGGCCTATCTTTGGGACCTCCCAATCCCCTCACCCAAATCCCAACCTTATCTGAAAGCCCAACCTAAGTCAAACCCTCCACCTTCCCACCTATTATAAACAAGCTCCACAGCCGCGGGAAAGGCCCTGGGTCACAGCGTTGAGTGCATCTCTGAAGCCCCCACACAAGACACAAGACACAACTGGGAAAGGGGCTTTCTGCATCCTTTATCTCCCGGGCTCAGCGGCCCTCCAGGGCCCGGTCTCGGGCAATGACGGCCTCTTCAAACTTGATCATGAGCGTGGTGCCCTTGTGCCAGTGCGCCGTGACCTTGGCAGGGAAGCCGCTGTGTGTGAGTACGGCCTCCACGATGCCGGCCGTGAAGCTGGCACAGTTGAGGGTGCTGTTCTCCTTGGGCACCGAGATGTAGGTGTTGATGAGCGGCTCCCGCTCGATGATGTAGAAGGTGCGCGCGTCGTCATTGGCCTGCTCCAGCTTGTCAGCCTCCTTGCCAAAGAGCGCCTTCCACACGGCCCCCTTGACGAAGAGCAGCGCACCCAGCACCTTGGTCTCCCGCCGGGACCCCTTTTCCCGAGCCACCAGTGCGTCAAGGACGCGCGCGCCCACCTGGCGGCCCAACGCGGCCAGGCGCGCCTGCAGCTCAGCCACCGAGAAGACGCGGCTCTGGCAGTGCTGCACCAGTTCGGAGAAGAGCAGCGCGAAGGCGCTCAGGCTCACTTCAGTGCGCGGCCGCGCCAGTGCGCGCTCCAGCAACGCAGACTTCCCGCGCGTGAAGCGCGCCTCCATGCCGCTGCGGCCCTGTAGGGAGACCACGGAACACCGTGTCAGGGACGATGGGAAGGGGGGCCTGGCGGGGAGGGCCAGGGGAAACCTGGGGACCACCCACCCCACCTGTCCGCATCGGAGTTGCACGCTGCAACACTGACCACCTTCAGGAACTTTCCTGCCTAACCCCTAGGCAAGACAAAATACATGGGGAGGGAGGAAAGGGCTGTATCCAGCCCAAAGGCCTAGAGGGACGGGGGCAGGTGAGATCCCTGGGTCCAGCCAGGAGGATGAAGGAAAGCCCCATTCTAGTCCCACACCCTTCGGCAGCTCCGACTGTCGCTTGGGAAGCCTGGCTGCACGGTGACCTGGGTGGGCCTGGGTGGTTTAGTCTGGTGGGGGGTCCCTCATGGGTGGAGGGACACTAGAGGGAGGGGCGTGCTGTCAGAGCCGAGCTCGGGGCAGCCAGAAGAGGGCGCCGGCATCCTCCTGCCGCAGCGCACTAAGCCACAGCTGCCGGGGGTGCAAGGGGGAAATGGGGCGAGGGGGCGCCGAGAAGCCCTCCCCTCCCCCCTCTCCATCCTGGGGTGAGGGTGCCGCCACCGGGGTTCAGAAGGGAAGCGGAGAATCCCGCCCCCACCATGCAGAGCCCCGGCCAGAAGCTGGAGGGTCCGGGGATGCCGAGACGGCGCCTACGAGCTCGCGCGAGGCGGCAGCGGGAGCGTCGAGCCCCGGCCCAGGCTGCGGAGGGGGGTGCGCAGCGCTGCGCGGAGGGGAAGGGCCCACCCAGCGCGCGACCCCCCGGGTGGGCCAAAGCGGGCGAACCCGGGAACACGGACGCTGATACCCCGGCCGGCACTGGACGCACGGACCCGTGGGCAGGGGTCGGGGAGCGGTCGAGGCTTGGCCCGGGCAGGGGTCGCGGGCAGGCGGGCGGAATCTCACCGGGAACTGAGGCCGTCGGTTCGGCCACACTTCTTTACGACGCCGTAAAAGACGCTGCGTGCGCAGGCGCGCGGGGGGCCGGGCGTGTGGGCGGGGCGCTCGCGGCGTTACCCAAGAATGGCCGCTGGAGGGCGCGCGTATCCACCGGGCCAGCGGCTGAGTATCCAGCCATGGCTTTGGTTGGCCCATGAGCGGGAGGACAGCAGTACGTGTGGTCTCCTGCTCAGGAGCACAGGTACCACGATGAGCACACGTCTCTTGCCTCTGGAGCACATGCATGCCCTTGAGCACATGTTCTCTTATATCAATTAAAGGCATAAGTGGTGGGGTAGAGCGATCAGGGATAGGTATACCCATAGGTACTGCTGAGTGGCACCAATACTTTATGGGCTCAATTACACGCATGGGTCTTAGGGACATATTGTATATCTCAGGCTGCATGCATTTAGGGGCACATGTGTGCCTATGGGCACACACTCTGGGGCATAGGGACTCAGTTACACCCTGAGTACACATTCAGGAACTCCCAGGGACCTACACAAAGTATATATTCTTGCTGACTCCTCCCCGCCCTGGTTCCCCACATCATATCCATGCTCTGTGTGACTGACTCGCCCCACCCCCAGGCCCAAGCACTTTCTCCCAGAGTTCTCAAGTCCCAGAGTCATGCCAATAACAAGGCCAAGAACCACATTGTTTCCCCCTGACTTTTATCTTCATGAATCACAAAGCCTGAATGCAGAAGTAAGTGGCCGCGTGCACATCTGTGCTCTGAACACACAGGGTGACAAAACCCAGCACATGCAGAATGACACAGCCTGTTTACGCTGGCACACGACACATCTACAGCTGTGTGCTCCCACCTCACCATGACAGGTATACACATGGCGCAGCACAGCGCACTCATGTTCATGCAGTGAGAGGAGCATCACCTGTCACCACCACCCACATTCACAATGGCATACTTTGGGGATACTTGATGGCTGGGACATGCCTATACTCACATGTCATGCCACTTATATGTGTGTGCTGTATGTAGAGTGTCATAGGCATACACATCACATTTGCTGTGACTCCCACATTCACATTCACCCATAACACCTTCCTGTGGGAGACACAGAAACTCCCATGCTTCCCCAAATGCTATTCTCTCTCTCTCTCTCTCTCTCTCTCTCTCTCTCTCTCTCTCTCTCTCTCTCTCACACACACACACACACACACACACACACAGAGAGTCATGCAACTCTGAAACACAGTCATGATGACATTCAATTTTCTATACGTGGGACAAGGGGGAGGCTGACAGTGCATTTTTCATCTTGATGGCAGCTGCAATCCTGTCCTCCAAGTTGTGGCTGCAGTGTCTTATTCATTGAGGTGTAGACTCTGAGGGAGGGGAGAGACCCAAGATCAGGCAGACCAGCCCCCTGAGAGAGGCACTGAGGCCAGGCCCAGGCTCCCCTGACCCCCGTCCCTGGGCCCTGGCTTACGTGTGCTCATCTTCTTCCCCAGCTCCTCCAGGATCTTCTGTGTGTTTTTATTGATTTGGGTTATTTCTGGTGGGAGGGAAGGAGAGACTGATGAGGCCTCCATTGCAGGCCCCTCCCTGCAGGCCTCCAGCCTGGAGTGCAGCAACTCAGAGCCATCATCCATCACCCCTTCCAAATCCTAGGATTTGGGAGGTCAGGAGCCCAGCCGTCTCTTCCCCCGAGGCCCCAGCACCCAGCCTGGTGCTGAGCATTGAAACAAATTCATCCAACAAAAGGTGGGTCTTGAAGGTACCTGCTGCCACTGTCTTAAGTTTTTCATTTCCACTTTGGACCTTGATCTTGATCTCACTGATGCCCTTCATGGCCTCCCCAGAGTTCTGCAGGATGGCTCTCCAATGCGTCCTCTGCTCCTCCTGGCCCTCCTGAGCCGCGTTCGTGGCTATGGGCATGGGTTGGCAGGGTGACCACCCGATCTCCACACAACCCTGTGGGTCTCCCCGTGAGGCCCCTGACTCACCATTCCAAAGCTCCCTTTTCAAGCTCAGCAGCTCCCTAGACATCTCCGAATCTGTTCGGGAAAGGGCAGGGGAAACCTGGAAGCTGCGTGGGTCAGCCCTCCTGGGAGCGGGGCTGGGATCGGGAGGGAGTAAGGTGGACACTCAGACCTCCCCGCCCCTCTCCCCCAAGAACTCTCACTTTTCAACAGCATCAAGATGGAGAGGGTGATGAAGAACAGAAAGGTCAGGGCGAGAAGGACAAACAGGCTCATGATGGCTCTGTGCAACCAAGCAGGGACCTGAGCAGCGTCCGAGGATGGCCTGGGCTGGGCTGAGACTGAGACAGAGAAGCAGGCCGGTGACCCCCAGCGCCCCCCCCTCCCGCCAGGCAGACCTGGCTCTGTCTCTGACACCATGGACGGCTTGCTCTTAATACCACTGCAGCTGTGACCGTCAACAGCGTTCATGGTCACTGTCAACAAGCTGCCACAACATCCCCCTCACCCACACCACCAGCGATCGTTTCCAGCACGTCGCCATCACACACCCCCTTACAGACCTTACCCAGTGCCACCAACACCCACCAACATCGATGCCTGTGGTATCCAGCACTCACCCACACCACATTTCAGATGTGCCATCACCATTACCACCTGCAAAGCCACCTCCACGGCCACCATCCCAGTCCTTGATACCACCACACTCCACACCATTCACCTCCACGAAGCAGCCCCTTGTCCCTGAAGTGCCCTCCCACATTCCCCTTCCTGAGGTTGGGGGCCTGGCGGTCAGGCCTGGCTCACCTTGATTCACGGGCGCTAGATGACTGCCCCTTGGCTGGTCCCGGTTTCTGAAGGTCAAGGTAATATTCTCATAGTCAGGGTCATGGGTATCTGTGTAAGATTTGGTGGGAGAGGTTATGGAGACCTACAGAGAACCCAGAGGCAGGGAAGGGGACAGGGAGACCCTGGTGCACGCAGTCCCTGAACACGGCAAGTTTTCAGGGGCAAAAAAGGAGTGAGAGACTAAAGTCTGCTTTGTGGTGAAGCAGAGCAGGTGACCGTGCATCTTGGAGGAGGAGGACCCCTCCAGCCCCCACCTGGGCCCCTTCTCTCTCCTATCTCAACCCTCCTTCTTGACTGCCCCCGGCCCACGCCCAGGTTCCTGACCTTTGTGATCGCCGGTGTTTCCCCCTTTCTTGTCTCTGAAGGCTGCTGCCTGCATCTTGAAGTGCTGGTTATGTAGATTTCAGGGTGCTTGGTCCCTGGCCTGCTAGAGTGTCCACACATCCACACCCACCGGAAAGTGTTGGGGAGATGAGGAAATTTGGGGGCAGAAGAGGAAGAAAGGGGTTTGCCTTCTGGTTTTCAGAAATCCATGACCCTCTCATCTTGGTGCATCCTTGCCCCTCAGATTAAGAAGGTCAGACGTCTCAGGGGTGGCCAAGAAGAGGAACCCTTTGGCCCAGAGACAGAATTGGCATGTTACAGGCAGTGATGAGAGAAGGTGGTGGTGGGGGGGGAGCCTACCAGGATGGACTTTCCCCTCCTCCCTCCTCTGTCTCCTGTCTGTAGAAGAGCTGGGCCACCTTAGAGCCTCATCTTCTAGGGCAAAGGCTGTCGGGCTTGGAGGTGGGATTCCTGGTCCCCTCACACCTCCCCCCCATCCACTCCCGCTTCTCAGCTCTACCCCAAACCCAAAAGTTCTGCTTCTCCAAGACCCTGTGGCGGAAAGGAACAGAGTTGAGGTCATGAGGGCACCATGGGGACTGATGCCCACCACCAGCCCCGAGGTCAGAGCACACCCCAGCCCCTGCTTAGACAGACCCTGGGGGTACACTTTCCCCCCACCCTCAAGACCCCAGCGGGGTCTTTTTCTTTTGTTTTCCTGTGTTTTTTTTTGTTGTTGTTTGTTTGTTTGTTTTTCTCCAGGGCAGGGGATCAAGCCCAGAGCCTCATGCATGCCCAGCAACTCTGTACCACTGAGCCACCCCCAAGCCCTGACGCTCATTTTCGGCTCCCTACCAGCCATACAGTACAAACATGTACACACACCTCCATTTTTTTTTTTTTTATCCTGAGGATTGAAGCCAGGGACACTCCACCCCTGAGCTACATCTCCAGCCCTTTTTATCTTTTGAGACAGGGTCTCACTAATTTGCTGAGACTGCCCTTGAACCTGCAATCCTCCTGCCTGGGCCTCCCAAGTTGCTGGGATGACAGGCATGCGACCGGCTACACACACCTCCAAGTACACACCCCGCAGCCACGCGTCTGCTCCTGGAGGCTCATCACAGCTCAGCTGCGGTCATTCTTCTTGTACACGTGCCACCAGAGAAACACGAACTGCACTCTGTCTAGAAGGTACCTGAACATCCTTTTGTGTTTCTCCTTGAAAATGAGGACTACAAAAGGTACAGAGTATTTAAAGAAGTTTTGCTTAAGTCTAGAGCTGTGTCTCCAATAGATATATGTGAGCCACGTGTTTAATTAATGATAGTTATCACCGTCGCAGTGCTGAAGATAGAACCCGGGGCCTTGCACAGGCTAAGTAGGTGCTCTGCCACTGGGCCACACCCCCAAACCCACACGTTTAATTTAAAATTTTTTAGCACCTGCATTTAAAAAAAGCACCTGATAAGCTAAATACCTTTTTTTTTTTTTTTTTGTAGTGCTGGGAATGGAACCCAGGGTCTTACAAATGCTGTGCCACCAAGCTACACACCCAGCCTCGTCATGTCTGTCAGTGGGGAGCAGATGCCGGGCATCAAACCCAGGGCCTCCCACATGCTAACCCACTCTACCGCTAAGCCACACCCTCAGCCCTAAATTGATTTCAATATTATTTTTATTTAGCATAATACACCAAACTAGTATTTCAGCATGTAGGTGATATTTTTAAATTATTAACAAAGCTGGGCATAGTGTGCTCCTATAGTCCCAGCTACTCAGGGCTGAGGCAGGGGGATTGCTTGAGCCCAGGAGTTCAAGGCCGTCCTGGCAACATAGCCATCTGAACTTGAACTCCTGGGCTCAAGCAATCCCCTCCCCCATCTCAACAACAAGACGTCAATAAAAATTGTTTAAAGATCGTTTATATTGTTTTCTTCCTCCTTCATTTCTTCTTTCTTTCCTTTCTTCCTCATCTTAGAAATCAAAGGTGCATTTGCATTTAAGATCCATTTCTATTTCGAAATGGTCGGATTTCAAGGTTCAATGCCTGCTATTGGACAGTGCAAGTTAAGAGTATTATAGTTTATTCCCTTTGGGGGAAAAATGAGAAGTCTAAGACTTTCTGACCATGTGCAGGAAAGTGAGCATTCTATGTTTGGCTTAAAACTTGAAATTAAATTCGAAATCATTTTGGAATGGACTCCGTGATCTAGTGAGGATAACATACTGTTTTCGAAATATTGCCAAATCCCCAGGAAAGATCAATTTAATAGTGTTTCCATGCCAGCTCCTCTATCCAGTCTTAGAAAGAAACCAGCCATTGAGTTACATAACAGACCCAGAGGGGCTGGACCAAGTGGAGGCCGGCTCTGCTCTGAGGGCCAGGCACAGAGGGCCGGACTGCACTTTGCATATTTCTCTTGGATGAGCCTGAGACTGGCTCCAGCCATCTAGACTTCCTTAGAGGAAAAGCCACTGAACAGGAGGCCCACAAGCCACCCTGTCATGCCGGACACATTCCTGGGGTTACCTGACCAACGCCCACTTTTCATAGGATAACAATCTCGACTTTAAGATAGAAAAGTGCCCTCCGTCCAGTGGGTCACAAAACTGGGATTGGCTAAGGGTGAGCACATGACCCAGGTTCAACCAATCAGAAACTAAGCTTTGGCACAGGCGTGGCCAATGAAACTCTGGTCTGGGATTTCTGTTGGGTTAACAAGGGGAAAAAAGGCGCTCTTTCTTTTTTCTTTCCACGGAGGCTTCCAGACTGGGATAATGTAAGCCTGGTATTGTGACAGGGGAGAATCTGCTTGAGAAGGAAGCCAGCACTGAGAAAAACAGAGCTGAGGGGGAATCTGGTCCAGGAGCCATCATGTGAGACCCTAGATCCAGCCATTCCTGAACCTGCTGTTCTGGCACTGGGGCTCTCAGCAGTCACACATACCAAAACTTCCTCCCCCCCTCCCTCCGCACTCAACCTAGCTTGACCTGGGGCCTGTGGCCCTGTGTCCACAAGAATCTTAGCCACCACAGGGAGCTAGGGCATTGACTTTTGAGGAAACAGAGACTCAAGAACGGGGCTTGCCTGCCCAAGGTCACATAGGCAGATATAACATCCGAGTCTGTGTGCTAGGACAGGCAGATGGCTGAGCTGGAATTGAGGGCTCTGAAGAGGCCCTTCTTGGGGTCCAGACACAGGAGGACAGTTGGGTGGGGCCCTCACACTAGGGTCTAGGGACCAGGGAGCTCCGCTACACACATGCGTCATGAAGAGGAGGGACATGCAAGGCCTAGACTTGTCCTCTCTGGTCCTGGCCACGCCTCTGACTCACCATCCCACTCAGTCCTGAGGCCACACTGTAGTCAGGGGGGAAGCCCCCAGGAGTAGAATGATCTCTGCTCACGGTCACTCAGCGCAAGGGGCTGAGCCACCATGAGAGGTAGGAGGCAGTGGGGGGAAGGCTCCATACACCCTGAAACCCAGGACCATTCTATCCCTAATCCTGCAGGGTGACATTAGAGTTTTGGGTCTTTCAAGAGTGGGTGCTAGGAATTCTAGCTGCCTCTCAGGGGCTGGATCCCTAGCCCCTGGGTCAGGATTCCTGGGGACCTGGACCCTGAGTCACCTAGATTTGTCCTCTGCCCTGGGAGCTGTGGTAAAGGATGCTGGGGGTGGGGCTGGGGGGCCCTCTAGGGCATTGGGTGTGCATTCAGGTTGGGGTGGGGACCAGCTACCAGAAGACAAGAGTCTGTCAGGGACACATATGTTTGTGACACTTAGTCTGTCCTCCAACATGGGTGTGTCTGTCATTCTTCACGTGGATTCAGGGGTGTCTTTCTTATCGCTGTGTGTCTGTGGGGACATGGGCGTGCCTGTAGTTATGGCATCTCTGTGTGACCACGTGTATTAGTCCTCTTAGCATCATTATAACAAAATCCTGGAGCCCAGGGTCGCTGGGGACTCAGGGCCCCGAGTGTCCTGCCCACAACGGACTGACCCAGATCCTGCATGAAGTCTTGGGGTGGGGGATGACACTAGCGGTTTCCTGGGAGGCAGGAGACCGAGGCCGTCAAGGTGGCCTCAAAGGTGAGACTCACTTGGCTCTTGAAGGTGGCCCTGAGCCCTCAGCTGGCGGTGTTAATGGAGGAAGTCGGGGTCCCACTAGCAGAGGAAGAGGTGGAGACACCAGGCAAAGGAGAGGGAAGGAGCAGAAGAAGGGGGCGTCCCTGTCCTGGTCCGGCCCTTGGGTTCCCTGGGTTCCGTGGGTTTCGCAGGGGCGCGCTCAGCCCGTCCTCCCCACTGCCCGCCCCGCCCAGCTGAGGAAACCGCACCCGGGGCCAGGTCTGCTGGTCACCATCTCTTTCCGTTTATTTCTGCAGCCCCCCCACCCCTCCCTGGGGCGCAGCGTGATCGACCTCAGGCGGCGGCCTGCAGACGACAGCAGCGCGCTCCGGTCCAGTCCATGCCCGCGCACTGGCAGTGGCACGTGGTCTCGGCGCGCACGTCCCATGAGCCACAGGCTGAGCCACACGTGCAGGCGGTGACAGAGAGGCCTGGGGGTGGGAGCCAGGAGGTTGGGGCGGGGTGGGGGCCACGGGTTCCGACCAGGGAGTGGATACAGGATACATGGGGGCAAGGAGGCTGGGGGCCTGGACACCAGTGCCCTAAGGAAATGAGGTACCCGAGCTGGAGTGGAGGGGGACAAGGCTGGATGAGGGATCTGGACACTAAGGAAGTAAAAGCTCAGGATGGGATCTTCCCAGGGGCTTGGGACAAACTTGAGCCTGAACTACAGGCTCATGCACTCACCTGCAGGGCAGGTAGCCAGGTTCCCCCTGGAAGTGACGGTCCTGCAGTCCAGGCGGATGTTCTGTATTGCTGCAAAAACTGCAGAAGTGGGATGGGAGGCTGTGAGACCAAGCTGTCCTCCCGCATCCCCAGGCGCTGGCTTGGAGCCAGGCAGGGGAGCAGAGGTTCCCCTGGGGACGGCCACAGGTGCAGCTCAGTGGTAGAGCGCTGGCCTGGCAGGCAGGAGGCCCTGGGATCCATCCCCAGAAACACACAGTTTCCCTAGGGAAGGCCCAGATAGGTGGTCCAGGTCCTGGTGGAAAGGCCACCACCTCCAGGGTCCTCTGCCTCGGCTCGGGTGTTCTGGAGTAAGCCCCCAAGTTTGAGGTGACAGGTGGGGTTAGTTTGGGATTGAATTCGGAGCTGTTTCCAGGTAGGGCTGGGCACAGCTGGGAGTGGGGATGGGTTGAGCTCGCGGTCTGGGTGTGAGGTTTGGTTAGCACTGAGCTGGGGTTTGATCTCTGGAATAGATATGAGAATCCTCACTTAGGGAGCTGATGCCCCCCTGGATCTTTTCATCAATGGCTTCATCCATGGGACACGATGACTTGCTGGACACCAGCAACCCCAGGACAGGGAGGAGAAGGACGCAGAGAGTCCTCATCCCGCAGGTGCTGTGAGAGGAGACAAGACCCGCCTCTGGGTCAGCTCCCTTCCATGGTGGGGAGGATCAGGCCCACGTGCCCGAAGCCCGGAGCTGGGGGCACGGGTCTGC